TTACATATGATAGGTATACAAGTTTTATAATGGTTTTAGAAATTTGAATGATTTTGGGAACAAATCTATAGCCTGTAGACCTAATTATAAATGAAATGAAAGTGTGTTTTATTTATTTGGTGTCCGTACAAATTTTTGTTTGGTATTTCATTCAAACTCTATATATATCTCCTATCTCACTTTACTTTTGTGTCTATTATATTTTCATACATAATTAGTTGTTATAGAAAATCGATCAATAAAAAATTATCATACATTTTGTCTATACCTGAACATGCATGGTTACATGTTTCTTAAAGGAACATAATCTTTAAAAGAAAATATTTAAAAGGAACATAATCTTTAAAAGGAAGCTATATGCCAATTAATTATGTGTTATTTAATAATTTCTTTGAAAAAAATTAAAAGTTAATGTAAGGGAGGTGATTCATTCGCAACAAATGTAACGATAAATAACACTAATCAAAAGGAAATTAATATAGTAATTCAATAAAGGTAATATATTTGTTGTCCATTAAACCACCATGATACAAAAGTAACATTTAAAAAAAAACTTAAAACCATTTTAACCCAAAAAAAAAATCAAAAAATTTAAACAACAAATTCAAACACATCGACACACTTCTCTTTCATACCAAAACCAATAAGATGTTATTTATATCCGAAAACAATTTACTTTTATTTTTATTACAAAACTAGGACATATATTTTAAATCCAAAACAAAAACAAAATATTATTTTTAAAAACAAAACACCATTGGTATTTATCTCTATTGAGACACCTCACCCCCTTGTCTAAACCCCAAAAGTCTAATCTCCGAATGAAACTATTAGCCAAAACAAAAGAATTCACTGAAAAAAACTATTCACAGAGTCCCGCTTGACGTCGGCCGCATTGCGCGGACTGAAAATAAAAAATCGAGTTGAATATTATAAACTCACAACCCATCAAACCGGTCAAAGATTCGAAACAAGTTAAAATCTGACGGTTATTTAGATTTAACTTTATTAATGTTTTGTTGTAATTTGCAAGGAAGTGACACAGAAATAGATTTATCTGCGTTTGAGAATTTTAAGAACTAAAGAACTACAGAATTATCAATATTTTGTAAATTCATTAGTACTTAATGATTTTTTTAGTTTGATTTAATAGCCACAAGTAAACAATTCACCACAATTAATTAATCATCGCTTTGATTATATTGTCTTCAACATGTACTTTCTTTTGGAACATAACATTTTTGTAAAGGAAACATATTACCGAAAGAACTTACGCGCCCCGCCGCTTTGCGCGGGTACACTGCTACTATATATATATATATATATATATATATATATATATATATATATATATATATATTATACTTTATTTTATTTTATATTCAAAATATTTTTATTAAGTTAGTTCATATTTTTTATTCTAAACAATAAAAAAATATATAAATCTTAAAAACATTTTAAAAAGATAACATCTTATTTATTATAATACAACATAGTGATATTACATATTAATAAAACGTTCCCAAATATGCTCCATATGAAAAAAGCAACACGTCGAACGTTGCAAGAACTCAAGCCAACCTCAAAACGCATTGGCATTACATGAACCCATTTGAAGTTGCATTTAATCAAATGTATATAGTGTTGAAAAGTCAACACCTCATTGGATGGTCTGAGGATGATCTCAAACGTGCAACTTTTGAGCATTATCATGCTAGATATGGTGCCGATTTTAGGCACGAACATATTTGGAATATCGTTAAAAATGAACATAAATGGAAAGGTTCAAGCAGTGCATCGATAATGATGAAGTTACAACTCGTCCAATTGGTAGGAATGCGGCAAAAAAAAGCAGCAAAAGGGAAAGCTACCAATTCCACTTCGTCATCTGGTAATAGGCTTGATGAAATACTTGAAAAACATATAGAAGAAAATAAAAAGACTTTTGAACGCTATCAAAACTCTTTGGATATGAAGAATGCATTGAAAGAAAGAAAGATGAAAATTAAAGAAGAAAAGGTAAAGAATGATGAAATTTCAAGCATTTTCATGGATCCCAATACCATGTCGGAAGATGGACGTGAAATTTGGAGAAACCGTTGTGACGAGATTAAAATAAAATACAATATGAAGTAAAATTTGTATTTTAGATATTGTACTTTTTATTTAGTATATTATTTGTAACTTTTAATTTTTAAATTGTAATCTTTAATTAATATTTAGTAACTGTAACTTTGAATTTCTAATTAATGTAATATTCTAGTTTTATTTATTAATATTATTTATAAAAAAAATTAAAATGATGATGTGGAAATCCATTGAACTCTTAAGATTTTAATGGAGTGTAGAGTTTAATAGGTTAAATGGTATAGTTAGTGGAATGTTGATGTGACAATCCATTGAACTCTTAAAAGTTCAATGCATTGGAGATGGCCTAATATGATCATGATTAGTACCACTAGGCCCCACTTCTCAAGGGGGCACCAGAACAAGTTTCACATGGCTGTTATATATAGTTCCATCAAATCATGGGGGGCTTTAACAACGAATCAGAGATTGTATCCTCTCTCTCAACTCCAACACCTTCTCGATATCACTCTCCTCTCTCCCCAATACTTCACCAATCACCATCTGTAGTTTCTTCATCAAAAATATCTATTTCAGCCTTACCTATGTTTCTCTCATATTCTTTTGGTTATATTCAAGACCCGCCTTAAATATTATTTGATTCAGACATCATAAACCACACCTTCCATCGTAACCATCACCTTATATGTTATGATTGTAGGTTCCAATGCTTTCATACACACCCTCCCAGACGTAATGTTCTCCTCTTGATCTTCATCATCAAACATGGATGTTCCTCATATGTTTGCAACTTTTTTAAGAGAATTAGTTATCCATGCACTTAAAGGCAACCCCTCAATTTCCACCCAAACTAAACATTCCTTAACAAAAAAGATTTGGTAACCGAGCATAAGTCCTTGAATTTTTTGGCAAAGCAAATCATGCTGCTTGAAATTAACACGAGAACTTCAAGCCTTAAACACTATCCAAACCCAAGCGCCATCAATGTAGCTAATCTCCAAGTCCACAAAACCTTCATCCATACACAAACGATGGAGATTCGTAGTGCTTAATACCTCCTTTACTTCAACCAAAACAACACATGTTGAATCCTGAGTAATCAATAAGTCTCCGGCATCTAACAATAACATAAGCTTTTGCTTGCATTCAACGACCCTCTTATACTTGTTCCCCAAACTTTCCGGCTACTAGGTTCACAAAAGAACACGATAAACACTCATTCTTTTGCATATCAGCCTTCATGTTATTTTCGATATGGATTGGTTTCATTTTGTTGCTATTATTCTCGTCTCTAAAAAACTTATATGTCCCAAATACATGATCATGTCCTCTATATATACTATATATATTTGTTGCTAATTCTCCTTCGTCCACCCCATTAAGAGATGAACAAATGCAAAACATATTCCTAGCTTTGATAGCTTTCTAGCAATGTAAACATCTGACACCTTTCCCTACGTCCCACACTAAGTCTTAAGTTTCCACTGACATTGAAAAATCTGTCACATCAAATGTTATTGAGATCTTATCCGAGCTTTTAAACTTATGGTTCATACCAGTTTACTATCAACACCGATTTTAGCTGGACGTTTTCATTTATCAACATCAACTCCTTTGAATCTCAACTCCTAATCTTACATCTTCGTGCTAGCATTCCCATATGGTACCATTGCTTTTCATCCAACCCTAATCGTAGATCTCCTTCCCACGAATGTAGGCAATAACTCATTCGCCTCAAACGTCTCAAAAGCACCAACGCAGTAAAATCACGTAGTTAATTTGGAAAAAAAATTGACAGTTTAAATTTTTCATGAGTTCCACAAATCTTCATATCCTTGGATGTATAATCTTTTTTTTTTGTGTGTCAATCTTCGAGATATTAGAGCATACACAATACTGGCTTATTTATAGTTTTTTCAAACCAAAACTCTTGAAAATTGAAAAGGCTATAAGATAGTTTTTTCAAATCAAAGCATTTTCAAGCTGCTTGTTAATTAAAAAGCTTTTTTTATGAGTTCTTTTAATGTCTGTGTAAATCAAAACATTTTCAAGTTGCTTGTTAATTAAAAAGCTCTTCGGCTCTTCTCATGAGTTCTTTTAATGTTTGTGTCCTTCTCATATTTTTCAACCACTTATAGCTAAAGAACATATACAGACATCCTATAAAAAAAATAAAAAATAAAAAGCTCTCACATTGTGAGAGATACAATAAGCTTTTAACGAAAAGCTTAACTAAAAAGCTCTTATATTATGGATGTTCTTATGATCGAATAAAGTCCAAGCGTCACTCATATCCTAACTCAATTTTAGAGTAAGGCATTGAAACTCGATTTGCGGATTTCACCATATTGTAAGAATAACTTCTTTCACAATATATAAAATGGTTAGTAAACAACACAATTCGGGCTACTTGTTTCCGATCATCAAAACCAACAAGATTGATAAATAGTGTTAATCGCATCCGCCGATAATCTCATGATGACAAACAATTTTTTTTTTTTTTTGGGATAAAAAGAAGTCATCAAATCAACTACTACCCCAATAGTAGAAACCGAAATAACAAAATGAACTCTTCTCCCTTTTTGGTGAACAAAAGGTGGAAAAATAACTTCTGGAACACCTCAAAGGGATTAAAACTCAAATATAAGTTTGGAAGGATATGGACAAATAAAAAGAAAGTAAACAAAGAATATCAAATAGAAAATCATATACCAATATATTATATGTATGAATCACATAAAACGCATGCGACATGTCAATACATGGTCAAATAGAATTCAATCACATGCAAAGGCTATGTACTAGCGATCAAATTGTTGAATTATACAATCTCAATTCTCAAGCATGCATAAGAACAAATCATATAGCACCAATTTAAGAAAAATGAATCACATAAAGAAGTCATAAACAATCTCTCAAAGACATGGTAAGACATTGATGATCCATGTAGATGTGTGAACACCACATAGATTACAATTTCATCTCTTAAACTTAAAAATGTAGTTTAACTACATAACAGATGAAAATCATTGAAAGTTGTGTCATGTGTGAGATCCTAGTTGTAGCTTTCTAATCTATAAACACTGGAGTTAACAATGGCTTCTTGGAAAAATGAGCCTCTAGGTTCCCTACCACAAGATCAGCCATGGCTTTTACAGTCTCAACAGTGTCACTCCCAATATGAGGCACGAGTACTACATTATCAAGACCAAAAAGTTCTTCAGGGACATGTGGTTCATTCTCAAACACATCAAGACCTGCACCTGCTATCCACCTTTCAATAAGGGCGGATACCAGTTCAGGTTCATCAATGTGTGGACCCCTCCCAATGTTGATGAGAAAACCCTTGGGACCCAGTGCATCGATGACTTGGCGGTTGATGATGTGGCAAGTTTCTTCGGTTAGTGCACACGCCACAACAAGGATGTCACAGTGAGAAGCTAATTCAACTACACTGGGAAAGTATTTGTATTTTGATTCTGGTTTCTGTGATCTTGAATAGTAACTTATTGGACAGTTGAATGCTTCAGCCCTCTTTGCAATTGCTGTCCCTATTCTGCCTAGACCTATGATTCCCACCTTTTTGCCACTGAACTGCAACAAGGATTATAAACAAAATATGAAAAACACTAGTCCAAGATAGCATCCATGGCATACGACACTGAAAACATAACAATCTTGAAAAACGATTCATGATCCGACCTTTTTCTCTACAATGTAAATAGAATGAAAGTAATTATGTTGCATAGGTTGAAATAGTAAAAAAGGAGATGATGATGATGATGATGAAATCAAACCTTAGTAGTCAATTTGAAGTCGCTTTTCTTCCATAATCCACCTCTAACATAACGATCGCACTCACAAATCCCTCTCAACGTTGCCAACATCAATGCAATCGCCAAATCGGCCACATCTTCGGTCAACACATCGGGTGTATTAGTAACCCTAATCCCTTTCTCCTTACAATGCACTAAATCCACCTTGTCTAACCCTACACTAAAACTGGATACAATCTCCAGAGCCGGTAACGAGTCAATCAATTCTCGGTCGGCGCCAACTTTGGTGTTTCCGACGACGGCCCGAATGGAACCGGAGTTCTCCTTGAAAAGGTCGTTTTTCTGAGGGAGATTCCACAAGCGGAAGAGATTGAATCGCTTATCGAGTTCTTGTTCGAGGTAAGAAGACATGGGGTAGGTCATTAGTACACCGATGGCTTTCAATTCCATGATTGAGGTCGGTAAGTTTACTGGCCAAGCTGCCGCTACGGGGCTAGTGATAGAGAGCACACACACTACACACGGGCCAGTTGGACCCGATCCGAAAAAGCTTCTCAAATTTAATGTAATTATTAGAACCCATGAAAACCATTATTAATAATTTTTAATTATAATGACTAATTAAATATTTGAAAATTTTTATTAATTTACTAAGATTGAAATTGTGTCTGTAAGGTTATAATGATTAGTTAAAATTAAGTAGATGTTTGAAGTGTATATCAACTTTCACCTTGAGTTTTAATGTTTCCTCAAAAGACAAGAATCCAAGTCTAAACACATTGTTCTTTTTTTTCCAGAGAGATGTTCCAAAACTGAGGGGTCACTAATTGTTACCTGGAGTTGGAATAGATCATCGAGAGTTGCAACTGAAAATGTTGAGCTGGTAGATTGTGTGAAGATGCTTTCAGATTCGGCCCTCGGAAGCTCACGTGACTCTTGGTTTCACCTCTTGGTGTTGGCTTGGGCAATCCTTGGGGTTGTTCTTAGTGAGTTCGATTATGGCTATTTGGGATTCAAAGATTTGTCATTCGCTTACTTATAAACATTTCTGGAATATTTGGGTTCCCATCAAACTCAATTTCTTTTGTTGGGGATGTTGGTTCTAAACTGTTTGCCTTGCAAAATTAAGTTACCAAAAGGGGAGTCAGGACAACGGTTACTTGCAAGACATGTGGGTTTGAGGATGAGTCTTCCATTCACATTCTATTGCAATGTACTTGGGTGAAAGAGATATGGACTTCGCTCCAATCTTGGTGCGATCTGGACTTTTCACATATTTCTTCTCTTGAGGAGCTCCTATCCATCTCTCATGTTTATTGTCAATCCCAAATCAAAAAAGGTGACTCATACGGTGATCATGTATGCTCTATGGCCAATTTAGAGAGCTAAAACGACATGATTTTCAACAAAGTTCCCTATTCTCCGGTTCGAGTGATTGAAGATATACAGGCGACTACATTCCTTTGGGTGCAAATAGAGGGAAAAGGATCTCCTTAAATTGGGTTTCATGGTGTATTTTTTCCATTTTCTGTCTCTTAAACCTACATGTAGAGTTTCTTTTTTTTTTTTTTTTTTTTTTCTTCTGGCCTTTTGCTGTTTGCTAGAGGTTTAATAAATTTTCGTTGTTCAAAAAAAAAATTAATATAAACATACAAGTTTATCCTTGTTTAAAAAGTTGTAGGGATTATCCCAGTCAAAAGTACTATTAACGAAAATAACAACAAAAATATTGAACTAATGTAACAAAATATTGAATTAAGACCGCGCATCCTCAGAAGTCTTGAAGAGTACTCTTGAAATGTGGTCCAGTCCGATACCTCAATCCACTTCCCATGCTGGCGACCGGAGGCCTTAATCTTTACCATGACTGACGAACCCTCGTTCCCACCTCCATTCTCGCAGCACCACTGAACTCTAACCTAACACAACCCATGCGAAATTACAATTCTCTTGGACATCCAATGACCAAACACATATGCGTCTAACACTCGTATCTTTCTGCTACTGCTTCTCTTCTAGTGACAGTAGTGCTAGAACCCAGAAGTTCTCCCATAGGCCACCGTCGATCATACCAGAACATATGATGAAAACCTCTATATCCCATCGATACGGGTGGACTAGCTCGATAAAGCTAATCACAGGCCTTCCACATAATACCCCTGACCGATCTCTACTTTTGAACCGTGATAACACTAAACACCCCGATCCGGCAAAAAAGGGAAACGGCTTTTCACTAACTACTTAGTGATTCACGGTATGCAAATGGCATATGACAATATTTGAAGATGTACCCCAACAGGAGCAAAGAAATAAACCAAGGATACACTTACTCAATCTACTACAGTATTCCAAACCAAAGCAAAATTCCCACAACAATGTGCAGATAAAACTGAAAGAAGGCAAAGATACATACCTGCAACATCGCCTGCTGGAGTCCTGACTTCTCCTGCCTGACACTGTAGGGCCTGAATCCTATCTGTTGGGGCTCCTGCCCTCCTCCTCGGACAGTCGGCCTTCTTGTGGCCCACCTGATCGCAGTGAAAACATAATGGGCTTGCCCCCTGAGAACAATCTCTGCTGACATGACCAACCCCGCCACACTTGTAGCAGCCTAAAGCCCTGGAACGACAAACTCCCTTGTGCACTTTCCCGCACGTGTTGCACTGACTCCAGCCCTACTGGCCTTTCACCCGATGATCAGAAGTCTTGGGTCTCTTCTCGGGACCCTCTACTATACGCACCTGACACGACCCTCTCTTCCCAATGTGTTCCAAATCGATCTCGTATCCTCGGACTCTGGAAGTCATATCCTTTAAGCTCTGACACCCTGTCACGCTCACCAGCTCACTCGCCAACGGCTGAACTACAACAGCTGGAACATCTTCTGCCCTAAATCGGGTCACAAACTCCTCCCAAGACATAGTCTCCAATTCAGAAAGCGTAATAGATCGCGCAATCAATTCCCAGCAACTCCTTGCCGCCCGATGTAGAAGATCCAAGGCGAACCGAACCTTGGCTCCCATGGGGTAGGGACTGGTGTGGAAAACACCTTTTTTAGGGGTGTCAAACCCAACAAATAATATGGGAACAATGGACTCCAAATACACTGCTTTAATGCACTAAAAAGTAGTACAAGGCAAGCAGGGTCGAACCAGAGAGTCACGGGACAAAAGTCTATACCTCTTTGCGCAAGGTACTTTGATCACAAAATGGGGATTTGTTTGCAAAAGTAAAATAATAAAATAACAATCTACTTCAAAAGCATGCACAAAATAAAATAAACTTGTAAACAATTTGATTGAATGGTTCTAGTTCTAGTTCTAGTTCTCAATGTTGTTGTTCAACTTGATTATGACTTGATGTAATTCATGATTTCTATTCTAAGTTGGTACTGAAAGATATTAACACGCTCTAATACCTCTCGCTTGTCAGATTATCTAACCAAAACATGCTCTTTTACTAGACCTAGCTTTACTAATTCAACCTAAACACGCTCTTAGATTGTATTGAAAAACTGCATTAAGTTTTGTACAAGCTTCCCAACAATGTTCATTTCTTCTCATACGCTCGGAAGTGTGAAAACATGTGATATATGTTTTACAATAAGAAAACTTATTGTTTGTTACCAATTATTAACTTTATAGAACGATTAGGTGCCCTAAAAGTTAATTAACTACACAAAAATTCAATTCATGAAAGTGGCCAATCAAACACAAATCAAATTCAAGGATTCTAGTTTGAACAAAAACATAATCACTAGAATAGAATCACAAATCAAACATCAAATCATATATTTCAAGTCAAGCAATCAACATGTTTTGAACAAGAACTAGAAACTAGGGTTTTTTAGCCACACATGGCTAAGAACAAATCAAACAAGTATAAAGATGGAATTTGAATGTTTAATGCTTACAAAAATGAAATCAAAAGTGTTTGCAATGATTAGGCCTTCTCAAAAGCTCCTAGAATTCTCCCAAAATCGCCCAAGATCGCCCCTAGTTGCTCTAGAAACCGTCCTTCCTGAAATGGCGACGTCTTCACTTTTTTTTATTAAAGCTCACGTGCTTTCCATAAGGCCATGCGTTTTTAGCATGGCCATGCCTTTTGCCCATGTGTTTTTGGCATGGCCATTTGTCTTGACCATGTGTTTTTGGCATGGCCCATGCTTTTTGCTAAAGATGAAATAAGTCTTCAATGTTGGCTCCATCTTCAGTCTAGCTTCACCACGAGTCATGTTGCTTAAATATAAGATGATAAAGGACAAAAACGACCCGTGTCGGTGTGACAGGAACCGTGTTTCAAACTTAGTCCTTTGCTATGATGACAATGCAACAATGACTCGGGTTATGTCTTCATGCTTTCCTCCATGGAATGACCGGTTCATCTTCTCTTCATGCTCCAAAGCTCCATACTCCAAGTTCCATGCTTCCAAGCTCCAAGCTCCACGCTCCATATTGTCTGCAAAATAAATCAAAAACAGTGAAATACCAGACATTCTTAATGAAACATACAGTTGCCCAAATAATTAACTAAATGCAAGAATTATGAAGTATAATGCTATGAAAGGACGGAAATAAACATGCCAAATAGGTGCATAAAATGCACCTATCAAACCTCCCCAAGCTTAGACTTTTCTTGTCCTCAAGAAAGAACAAAATTAAGAATCACCCTAGAGAAGACGATAGGCGACTAAAAAGAAACTAAGATGAAAATGGTAGGAACGAAAAGGACCTAAAGGGAATTAAGAGTGAATGCATGAAATAAAAGAAAAACTAATGAAAATAACATATGTACAAAAAAGATTAACAAAGAAGAATGAACCAAATAAAAATTCAAAAACACAAATAATATTTTATTGTATTATTATTATTAGTTATTATTATTATTATTATTATTTTTGTTTTTTTTAACGATCAGACTTTACATCGATGGGGCTCCAATCACTAATATCTAGGCGACCATCCTGCTACCTTTCATGTATCACAGACACCCAAAGTGAGGAAGACCACGAAACGATGTAACCCAATAATCCAACCATAGTTTTATTTAAACTTTATCTCTTAATTAGCTTTGTGAGTGAAAATAACATAGTCCGGGATCTCATGTCCTTAAGACTAGATAGTCAAGAATCAGAATCGACGCATCCTTAAGAACCCGTCACGGCAAATCAGCTTTCGCCGAAGCAGTGAGCCCACCCAAAGGGGCCCAGCTCCTATGCTTTCACTTTTTCGAGAGCCACAACTATCATATCACACAGTTCTTCATTCGCCAGATCTGACTTTGAGATGGATTCTGGTTTGATTGAACTTGGATTTGTATCTTCGTTTTGAGCTTGAGTTCTTCAATCAACTTTTTTAATTTCTTAAAATTTCTTCGATTGAGCGCTTGGAATTTTGATTTTGGGTACCGGATATGACGGTTGTACCCTTTCTTCATTCTTGACTGTGTGGATATGATACTTAAGCTCTCTGTTACCGCGAGGGTAACGCGTGTCAACAAATAGGTTCGTGTTCTGTGGGTCCAGAGTTGTCGATAA